CCCCTCTCTCTCTCTCTCTCTCTCTCTCTCTCTCTCTCTCTCTCTCTCTGTTGAATGTTGTTGCTAACAAGTATGCAACCAGCAGTAGGAAAAAAGCGTAAAAACGGGGAAAAGAGAAGGTAGAACTAAAACGGTTGAGAAGGAGTTTTCCAGGAGCTACATGCTATGGTGGTAGTAGTTTAAATCCTAATAGATAGGCTACTAAATTGTCTTTAAGACGGCGAAGTACTTGGGAAAAGCTGTCAGGGTATACGATGTGTATTATATAATGAAGGTTTAAAATAAGACAGGAGAAAGATGCATCATAACAAAGTAGATTTCCCGCACTTTCCAGATTTTCCCGCATAACAAAACACTTTTGTGGGAATTTACTTCCTGTTCTGCTCCATTAGACTTAATTCTATTTATGGGTTACTGTCCCCTGGGAAGAGGGAGGGTGGGTGCAAAATTGTATAAGCTTAACGCTTCATGCGACTCTGTAAGGTTATTTATTTAAGAAGTGAACCTCTGACTTTGACATCCATATCCGACAGAACTGGGCCAAATGGGGAAAATTCGTGTAAAGGGCCTGTCCCAAAGACACATTATCGAACCGTGCAGAGTTATGAGAAAGAGCAAAAAAAACCACCAAAAAAAAGAAGACAAAGGCAGCAAAAAGGGGAATAGGAAATAGTTAAGGAAAGAGGGTGGTGAAGTAAAGGAAAAAAGACCCCCGCCCCCCCCCCCAAAAAAAAAGCAAAAAAAGAAACCGGACAAATGTAATGAAAGCTGCAGAATGTTCTTGAAAAAAGCAGACATATATCAAAGAGAAGAGAACAAACAAGGATAGAACATTGAATAGGAGGACATCAAAAAGATACAGGAACGAACGAAGGATGGAAGGAGATTATGAAGAAAGTTGCACTGGTAACTTCATAAAGTGGGAAAGTATTTTGCTCCAGCAAAATGGCTCACAGGAAATGCATTATATCGAGCTAAGATGATCAACAAAGAGTCTCAGTGGCTCAGACGTTAAGCGGGAGGCCCCTAAGGTGTGTGCTTGAGCAAGACATGTTAACAATACAGAGTGCTGAATCGCGACAACCAATAGTAGTTTGCCACTACTGAAATAATATTAAGCCGCGCTAGATGCTGCCGTTGTTTTCTATTGCGCTGCCAGATAAAAACCCATAGACCCCGTCTGGATAAGAAATTATAGGTAAGCCCAAATTGGTAAATATAGAATAGTTTTATCAAAACATAAACCTGACATTAACCATGGCGCACAGTATTCGCCTATTGCAGAAATATATTTTGTTACTATGAAGGAATACGTTGCAAGGGAAATTAGTGTCGAGAGTATAGAACTGAATGAGGTACAGAAACAGCAGAGTTGTTTGTTGTTTTAAAGCAAAAGCAGTCAACTTTCAACATAATGTATATAATTTGTTTAACTTCAAATGATACAGACCCCCCCCCT